GATGCCATGAAGGTCTTTGTTGATTCTCAGGGTTTTTCACAAACCCAAATTGTCCAGAAACGGGAAATAATCCTGAAGGCCTATGCCAAGAGCCATACCATCAATGAGCTGAGCCCCTTTACCACCTATAATGTTAATGTCAGTGCCATGCCCAGTGATTATTCATATCGTCCTCCCACAAAGATCACAGTGACCACGCAGATGGCTGCCCCACAGCCCATGGTTAAACCGGATTTCTATGGTGTCGTCAACGGGGAAGAGATTTTGGTTATTCTGCCGCAAGCTTCCGAAGAATATGGTCCTATTTCCCATTACTATTTGGTGGTGGTGCCGGAGGATAAATCGAATTTGCACAAGAATCCTGATCAATTCCTCACAGAAGATTTATTACCGGGTCGGAACAAACCTGAACGGCCCAATGCCCCATACATTGCAGCCAAGTTCCCCCAGAGATCTATACCCTTCACCTTCCACCTGGGTTCCGGAGATGATTATCATAATTTTACAAATCGAAAATTGGAACGGGAGAAGCGTTACCGCATCTTCGTGAGAGCTGTCGTGGATACACCGCAAAAACATTTATATACCTCAAGTCCATTTTCGGAATTCCTCTCCTTGGATATGCGTGAGGCACCTCCGGGTGAACGACCACATCGTCCTGACCCCAATTGGCCATCGGAACCTGAAGTTTCGGTTAATCGTAACAAAGATGAACCTGGCATGATGTGGGTGATCCTACCCGTCCTGGCTGCACTGATTTTGTCCACCACCTTCATCATTATTTACATTATCAAGAGGAGAAGGCAACCATGCAAGACCCCCGATCAGGCAGCTGTCACAAGACCCCTTATGGCCGCCGATTTGGGTGCCGGACCCACACCCAGCGATCCGGTTGATATGCGCCGCCTTAACTTCCAAACCCCCGGCATGATTTCCCATCCACCCATACCCATATCGGAATTTGCCAATCACGTAGAACGCCTTAAGGCAAATGACAATCAGAAATTCTCTCAGGAATATGAAAGCATTGAACCCGGTCAACAATTCACCTGGGACAACTCCAATTATGAATATAACAAGCCCAAGAATCGCTATGCCAATGTCACCGCCTATGATCATTCGAGAGTCATCTTACCCCTCATGGATGGTGTGGTCGGTTCGGATTATATTAATGCCAATTATTGTGATGGCTATAGGAAACACAATGCCTATGTGGCCACGCAAGGACCTCTCCAGGACACCATTTCCGATTTTTGGCGTATGTGTTGGGAACTGAAGACCACGACAATTGTTATGATGACCCGGCTAGAGGAGAGGACACGCATTAAGTGTGACCAATATTGGCCGACACGAGGCACTGAGACTTATGGTCAGATGTTTGTAACCATTACGGAGACCCAGGAGTTGGCCACCTATAGTATCAGGACCTTCCAGTTGTGTCGTCAAGGCTTTAATGAACGCCGCGAACTGAAACAATTGCAATTTACAGCCTGGCCGGATCATGGAGTACCCGATCATCCTGCACCTTTCTTGCAATTCTTGCGTAGATGTCGTGCTCTTACTCCACCCGATTCCGGCCCAGTTGTGGTTCACTGTTCCGCTGGGGTGGGTCGTACCGGCTGCTACATTGTCATTGACTCTATGCTGGAACGTATGAAACATGAAAAAATCGTGGATATCTATGGTCATGTCACCTGTCTTCGGGCCCAACGTAATTACATGGTCCAAACCGAGGATCAATACATTTTCATACACGATGCCATATTGGAGGCCATAATTTGTGGTAATACTGAGGTCCCAGCCCGCAACTTGCATACCCATTTGCAAAAGTTGTTGACCACAGAGCCAGGAGAAAGTATTACCGGCATGGAAATTGAATTTAAGAAACTCTCCAACGTTAAAGTCGACTCATCGAAATTTGTTACGGCCAATTTACCCTGCAATAAACATAAAAATCGTCTGGTCCATATTTTGCCATATGAGTCGTCGCGGGTCTATCTAACACCCATACATGGTGTGGAGGGTAGTGATTATATCAATGCCAGTTTCATTGAAGGTTATCGTTATCGTTCGGCATATATTGCGGCACAGGGCCCCCTGCAGGATACGGCTGAAGATTTCTGGCGCATGCTATGGGAACATAATTCGACTATTGTCGTGATGCTTACGAAACTCAAGGAAATGGGAAGGGTAAGTTTGAAAATCTCATATATCACAAAAAAGAACGCTAACATATGTTAGAATATATTATCTGGACCTTTAAAACCCCCCAAGTGGAGTAGTAGGGTGATATGGTGACATCGCCCAAAATGTTATAAAATTCAATACATATTGGTGCAGAAGTTTTAGCTTAGAACAACTCACAAAGTGCAAAATTATATTCTACATGGGCAGGAAATCTGAGCAGGACCTTAAAATTGAGTAGTAGGACGATTTGAGGACCACACCCAAAAATCGGTCAAATGCAATAAATTTTGGTGTAGCTGTTTTTAGATGATTACCAATCCTAAATGCGTTATTATATCCGTTTTGGGTGGAAAAGTAGGCCAGAACTTTAACTAATTGAAATATGGAGTAGTAGGGTGATATGAGGCCAGTGGGAGAAGTACCATAAATTTTAGTACAGATATTTTTAACTCCAGACGACTCCCAAAATGCAAAATATGGGAGGAAGAGGTGGTAGGAACTTCACCAAATTGAAAATCGAAGAGTAGGGCGATAGGAGACAACATCAAATTAGAAAGTCGAGTAGTAGGGCGAAATGGGGTCAGTAGACCAAATACCATAAATTTCGGTACATATATTTTTAGCTCCAGACGAATCCAAAAATGCGATACTATATCCGATATGGGTTCTAAATGTGGCAAAAGATTCACCAAACCGGAAATCGAGGAGTAGGGCGAAATAGGGACGATATTGGCCAAAATCAATAGAATCTTCATGTATAAAGTTTTTACGCCTCGTCGGAAAATAGTCCAAAATGCATATTTTTTTAACCGACATGTATCACAGATTATACCAGATCTTAACGGAAATTTCGGTCAGAACCTCAAAAAATTCCGCCAAATTGGAATAGTAGGTTGATTATGGGAACCTAACCAAAATGTATGCCAAAATCATAATTTTTCGTAAGATCTAATTTTTACTCAATAAGAATACACAATGATATATCAGATTAGGGCAGAAAATGGGACCAGAACTGCAAACAAATCCAAAAATCGAGTAGTAGGGCTATTTGGGGACAAATTTGACCAAAAGCATTAAATGTTTATAAACACGTTTTTTAACTCAATATCTCAAATTCGGAATTATTTCCGATTCAACTTCAAAAATTCCGAAAATCGGATAGTAGGGTGATATGGTGACCTCTATGACAAGTATTCCAAAATCAATAAATGTTTGTAATCATTTTTTTTTACTCAATGATAATCAAAAATTTTAAAATTAAACAACCTTGACCGACCCTTTAGAACCCAAAAATCGACTAGTAGGGTTATTTGGGGACTCAACAAAAAGTAGGTAAAAAACTGTCTGTATTGATGTTTAGTACTCAAAACGACAACGTAAATTTAAATTTTATAGGATTTGTAACTAGAACTTCAAAAATCCGAAGTTCGATTAGTAGGGTGAATATGGGGCCATGTGGGCCAAATGTAATATTTTTTCCAAATTAATGTTTTGCTCAATACAAATGCCAAAATGAGGAATTAGAAACAATTCACGCCGAAAATGTGGCCAGAACCCTTTAAAAGCCCGAAATTTTGAAGTAGGGCCATATGGGGACCTCAACAAAAAATTGGCAAAATTCAATAAATTTTCTGCAATTAAAAGTTGTTCGTAATGCGAAAGGCAAATCTCAATATAATCTGGATTTAGATTGACAATGTGGTCAGAACTTCAAAAATTGGGAAAAAATCCATAGAAATTTTGTACATAGGGGTTTTATCCCAATAAGAGTCTCAAATGGGAAATCGTAACCAAGTTGATCGGATAATGTAGCCAAAACTTTAGAAATACCTGAAATTCTAATTGTAGGGTGATATGGGGACTCCGGGAAAAATTAACCAAAATAAATGATTTTATGTACATAGGGTTTTTATTTCTCTACGCGAATCGCAAATACGAAAAAATATCTGAATTGGTCGAATCATGTGGTCAGAACTTCGAAAGGCTCGAAAATCGACTAGTAGGGCAATTTGGGGGCTTTGCCTTTAAGTTGACCAAAGCCAATAATTTTCAGTAAATAAAATTCTAATTTACAGCCGATATCGGTAGGCAATCTGGCCAGATCTTCTAAAAAACCTAAACATGGAACAGTAGGGTGATTTGGGGACATCACTTAAAAGTTGACTAAAATCAATAAATTTGTGTACATAGCTTTTCTATCTCAATACGAATCTCAAATGGAAAATCATATTACAGTTGGTCGGATACTTTTGACCAAAATTTTAAAAAGATCGGAAAATCGATTAGTAGGGCATTATGGGGACATCACCTGAAAAGCGGCCAAAGTCAATAATTTTCAATATATAAAAATTGTTCTTAATGCAAATGCCAAATCAGAATCATCAACCGATTTACGTAGACAAAGTGGCCAGAACATATAAAAAAGTATGAAAATCGAAGAGTAGGGTGATTTGGGGACATCACCAAAAAGTTTACCAAAATCAATAAATTTTTGTACATAGCTTTTTTTATCTCAATACGAGTCTGAAATGGGAAATCATATTCGAGTTGATCGAATAATTTGGCCAGAACTTAAGAAAATCGGGAAATTGACTAATAGGGCGATATGGGAACTCCACCAAAAAAGTGAACCAAAATCTATGATTAAAAGTTTTGATTTATATGGTTGCCAAATCTCAATTTACAACCGATTTAGGTAAACAATGTGGCCAGAATTTCTAAAAAGCGTGAAAATCGAATAGTAGGGTGATTTGGGGATATCACCTAAAATTGACCAAGATCAATAAATACGAATCTCAAATGGGAAATCATATTTGAGTTGGTCGGATAATTTGGTCAGAATTTAAAAAAAAAATCGGGAAAATCGACTAGTAGGGCAATATGGAGACATCACCTAAAAGTCGACCAAAGTCAATAATTGTCCGTAAATAAAAAAAATGTTCTTAATACGACTGCCAAATCAGAATCTACCACCGATTTAGGTAGACAAAAAGACAAGAACTTCAAAAGAAAACCTGAAAAACGAATAGTAGGATGATTTGGGGACACCACCTAAAAATTTACCAAATTTAATAGTTTGCAGTAAACTAAAGGTTTGCTAAATGCGAATGGGAAATTTATATCCAGGATAGACGGAAATTTGAAAATCTGAATCTGAAAGTTGAGTAGTAGGGTAAAAATGGGACATACTTAAAAAATCATTAAATTTTTATAAATAGGTTCATTATGAGCCGTTCATCAAATGATCCAAGGGGGAAATGGGGTCAGAACCTAAATAAGTTTCAAAAAAGAAAAGTCTATAACAACAGATAAGTGGATAGTAGGGCAGTATGGCCCCTCATCAAAAGTGCTAGGGCGAAAAATGGGGCCTCCATCAAAAGTAGGTAAAATTCAATAAATTGTGGTATAGCGGTTTTTAGCTTATTATGAGTCACAGATCTCGAATTATCTACGATTTGTGTGGAATATGTGCCCAGAACTCTAAATAATCCGATAATGGAGTAGTAGGGCGAAATGGCGCCTACTAAGAAGGATTGCCAAAGTTAATAATTCCGAGGAGGATATAAAAGTTATATTTTTTAATATAATAATAAATCGAAACTGTTATACAATGATGTTATTAATATTAATTTTGCAGGAAAAATGCTATCAATATTGGCCCCATGAACGTTCGGTACGCTATCAATACTATGTCGTGGACCCGATTGCTGAATATAATATGCCGCAATATAAGTTGAGAGAATTCAAGGTAAGTTTGATTAAAATTCAACAAAAAATCGAAACACTAAAAAAATTATTCTGCCTTCCCCGCAGGTCACCGATGCCCGTGACGGTTCCTCACGTACTGTACGCCAATTCCAATTTATCGATTGGCCCGAACAGGGTGTACCAAAGTCGGGTGAAGGTTTTATCGATTTCATTGGCCAGGTGCACAAGACCAAGGAACAATTTGGCCAAGATGGCCCAATAACTGTGCACTGTAGCGCCGGAGTGGGACGTACTGGAGTCTTCATTACCTTAAGCATTGTCCTCGAACGTATGCAATATGAAGGTGTACTCGATGTTTTCCAAACTGTACGCATATTGCGAGCTCAACGACCAGCCATGGTTCAGACAGAGGTAAGATTTTTTGGAAATTTAATTTTCAAAAAAATATTGATTTTTTTAAATATTTTTCTTTTGCAGGATCAATATCATTTTTGTTATCGTGCAGCATTGGAGTACTTGGGTTCGTTCGATAACTATACCAATTAGTTGCCATTGCAGATGGTGTCTGTATAACAGATTATTTAACTTCGAAAGATGGCAAAGAACATGTTTTGGTTTGGTTTTTTTGGTTTCTGTTTTGAAATACTGACTCAAATGGCCCAGGCTTCGTAAATACAACCCTTTTGGATCCCCGAATTTCGGCAAAAATATAGAGGGAAACACATAGCATCTAAAGGAAAAAATCGTTTATATAAATTTTAAGTTATACGAAAATTGAGAAAGTTAAAATTTTCATGTATGGAAGTTGTAAAAAACTGTTATACTGACTTGTATAACAGTTAGGAAAGTGTTATAATTGTAGGGAAATGGTTAAAAAAGGTGCTGAATAGGGATTTATGGTGAATTGAAGTATTTTGGAAGCCAGTATAACAGTTACAAAACTGTTATACATATAGAAAACATGTTAGAAAGGTCTACATTTCGGAGGAAAAAATACTACCAAATATAACAGTTTAAAAATAATGATGGAAATGTGTCATAATAGAAAATTAGTTATACCACCAGACCTAAAAAAGTGTTATACTATTGAATATTTTGAGAACAACTGTTATATTATGTGTATAACAGTTCGAAAAGTGTGCTAGTATCTTAAAGAATTATCATAATTAATATTAATTAGAATAATTGAGCTAAGGAAACTGTTATAATATATCGTATAGTATAACAGATCGAGTATAACAGTTAAACGTGTTATACAATTTTACAAATATGTTTAGAAAATACTATTTTTTATTACATAAGCAATTTAATGAAATCGTTTAAATTACGTTGTGAGTATAACAGTTTCCAAAATTAGTGAGGAAATGATAACAAGTAAAACTGAATATGACACAAATATTCGTAAAGCAATTTAAAATAAATTTTGGTAGTTTATAGCAATTTTCTTACTAATTTTTTGAGTATAACAGTTTCCAAAATTAGTGAGAAATGTATAATAAGTAGCCCGAATATCATATTAATATACGCAAAGTAATTTCAAATAATGTTTGGACGTTTATAGCAATTTTCCTACTATTTTCTTGAGTATAACAGTTTCCAAAATTAGTTAGAAATTAATAAAAACTAAAACAGAATATTACATAAATATACGTAAAGCATTTTCAAATAATGTTTGGACGTTTATAGCAATTTTCCTACTATTTTCTTGAGTATAACAGTTTCCAAAATTAGTTAGAAATTAATAAAAACTAAAACAGAATATTACATTAATATACGTAAAGTAATTTCAAATAATTTTTGGAAGGATATAACAGTTTTCTTACTATTTTCTTGAGTATAACAGTTTCCAAAATGAATTAGAAATTGCTAAAAATTAAAATCAAACATTACATAATTGTATGTAACGCCACTTAATGGTATTTTTTGTAATTTATAGTAATTTTCTTGCCACTTCTTGAGTATAACAGTTTCCAAAATTAGTAAGAAATTGATAACAATTAATACCGAACATTACATAATTATATGTAACGCATTTTACAGGTAATTTTGTTTAGTTTATAGTCATTTTCTTACTAAATACTTCTTGAGTATAACAGTTGCAAAATTTTAATGAAATCAAAAAATATTGCATTACTTCACATAATTTCATGTAGCGCAACAGATTTTAAATAGTTTGAGTAATTTTTAATAGGTTTTAACATACTTCGTGAGTATAACAGTTTTCTAAATATTAGTAAGGTTGAAAAATTGAACTTATTAAAAAAAGTGGATCAATTTACATATGACTCTATTGTATTTTACATGTTTAGAAATTAAATTTAAGTAATTTTACATTGATTTTTAAGAATATTTTGAGTATAACAGTTTCTAAAAATGCTATGTACTTTGAAAATAATATAGCGGGATATAATAATATTTTTATAGGATCCTTTTTACACAAAATTTTACATTTTAACCGAGGTTTTTAATTACTTCTTGAGTATAACAGTTTGCAAAAATTGACTTAATTTTAGAAAATAGCAAATATAAAATTACAAATTTGCATGTCAAATTAAATTGAAGTTTACAAGAATTTAAAACTAATATTTTAACAATTTCTTGAGTATAACAGTTTACAAAAATTTAGTTTATTTCGGAAAAAATAATCCCCACCATAACTTATGGCAATTAGTAACATGCTAATTAATGTTGAGGATTTTTTTACAAACTTCTGATCAATTTCAAATAATTTCTTGAGTATAACAGTTAACAAAAATTGAGTATAGATTGGAAAAAAACTGTTCCGAACATCACTAATGGGAAATAATAACATGCTAATCAATTTCTGACGAATTGAAAACTAATTTCTCATAGGTTTTCCGAATATAACAGTTTCCAAAACGGTATAACAGTTTTCCAAAATTAAGTGCCGTAAGAAAAAATTGAACGGAACATGTCTATATGTAATAAATAAATTTGTAGGAGATTGTAATCCAAAATTTTGTTTATTTTGGGAATATAACAGTTTGCCAAAACAGTATAACAGTTTTCACAAACTGATGTAAATGTTGAAAAAATTGCGCAGTGTATTACTAAATGTAATAAATTAATTCTTAACGCATTATAAAGACAATTTGTCGTTATTTCAGGAATATAACAGTTGCGAAAACTATATAACAGTTTTCAAACAAATGAGTATCGTTTGAAAAAAATGCTCGAAACATTACCAAATGTAATAAATTGATTAAAAATACACATAAAAAGTAATTTTTACATTATTTTCTGAGTATAACAGTTTCTACAGCCGTATAACAGTTTCTTAAAACATTGATTTAGGTGTGAAAAAATTACACAAAACATTCCAACATTTTATGAAATACATTTTAAAGTAAGTTTTATATAATTTTTTTGAGTATAACAGTTTCTACAGCCGTATAACAGTTTCTTAAAACATTGATTTAGGTGTGAACAAAATCACACAAAACATTCCAAAATTTAATAAAATACGTTTTAAGTAAGTTTTACAGTATAACAGTTTCTAAAGCAGTATAACAGTTTTAAAACATTGATTTAGGTGTGAAAAAAATTACACAAAATATTCCAAACTTTAATAAAATACATTTTAAGTAAGTTTTACATAATTTTTTGAGTATAACAGTACCCAAAGTCGTATAACAGTTTACAAAAATAATGAGTACCGTTCGAAAAAATACACAAAACATTATCAAATGTAATAAATTAATTAAATAAACAATTTAAAGTTATTTTAACATTATTTTCTGAGTATGACAGTCTCCACAGCCGTATAACAGTTTTCAGAAATTGATGAACGCTTGAAAAAAATGGCATAGAGCATACCAAAATGTCATAATTTGTTCATAAATAATTTTAAAAGTTAATTTTACATAATTTACGGAGTATAACAGTTTTAAAATCCGTATAATAGTTTGCAAAAAAATCCCAAAATCCATTATTTTATTATAAAATTAATTACTAACAACCACAATTTATAGTTATGTTAACATTATTTTCTGAGTATAACAGTCCCCACAGCCGTATAACAGTTTTCAGAAATTGATGAACGCTTGAAAAAAATTGCATAAAGCATTCCAAAATGTAATAAATTATTTTTAAGGGTATTATAAAACCAAATTTACACATTTTTAGAGTATAACAGTTTTAAAAACCGTATAACAGTTTGCAAAAAACCCAAAATCCATTATTTTATTATAAAATTAATTACTAACAACCATAAATGTTGCCAAAATTGTTGATGTATAACAACTTTTTAACTGTTATACACTAAGATCCGTATAACAGTTTGACAAAAAAACCCCAAATCCATTAATTTTCTTAAAAATAATTACTAACACCCATGAATGTTTTTAAATTGTTGATGTATAACACTTTTATAACTGTTATACACCATGAAAATTATGACTTCCATACATGAAGAAAATTTAAATATTTTTTTTAGAAAATTAAATTAAGAAAATTGTTGTTGCATTTTGAAGTCTAATTATAATTATTATAAGAAAAAATTTTGAATCTATACCCTGCCTGCTTTTATATCACTAATTAGTAAAGAAAAAGAAATACAACTTCGCTATACTTTCCAGAATATTTTTAAAAACAAATTAATTAATTTTAATTAAATTTAAATAATATTAAAAAATAATTATTTAAAAATTAAAAAAAAATAATTATTATAAATTAAATAAATAATTGTAAATTAATTTTAGTGTTTAGTCCTTTGTCTCTTTTAAGTTATTGTGAACTAAAAAAGACTGTTTATGCATTAAATTATAATTAAACAAAAAACAAGAAAATAATAATACAAAAACAAAAGAAAAGTAAAAAAAAATATTTAAAGAAAATGAAACAAAAAATAGTAACGAAAAAAAACCAGAAAAATAATTAATTTTTTAAAAACTGTGTTGAATGTCCTTAAATATGATCTTAAAAAAATTATTTGTTTTTAAAATAAAATTAATTTTAATTATTATTACATTAATTAATAATAATGTATTTTAATTTTAATTTTGTAACATAAAAGCCAGTCAATATAATTAATGAAATTTTTTTACAATTTTCAACTATGAATCTCTCTTGAATGTCCAACGACCTTGCATATAAATATAAAAATTCTAAAAGACATTTTATATTAAAAAATAATTTTTACTTATAACGCCCCCCCAGTGGCCTAATTTTCGTCAACCAAAATTCCATTTAAGTATTTGATTTGAAAATTTTTCAAAAAAAAATTCTAATTTTAAGTTTGCCTAATTTTGTGCCTTTGTAGTTAATTTATATGGAACTGCCAAGGAGGGCAGGTCTAGGCCTTCGAGATCATTCCTCGATGAGAATACTCAGTATTCTTATTTGAAAAACAAAATCAAGGGCTCTCTAGTCTCCCACCTTCTTGTTCCAACCCACTTTGCGTCCTTTATCCCTTAATTTTTTGCCTTTGCAATACTTTTTATTTTATAATTTTGTGTAAATTTTTTTTATAAATAATTTTTTGTGCTATTAATTTTTATTGTGTTAATTTTTTTGCTGTAATTATAAGTTTGTGAATTGTGTGTAAATGGCATTATTTT